TTCATGTGTATTTCCTTGTTGTTAGCTGCCGTACTTGACATGGTGACGTCACAAACCCGGAAGCGTATTTACAAACTGTAAAATACACTGTAAACCATGGTATATAAAACACTGTAAAACATGATTTATAAAACACTGTAAAACATGATTTATAAAACACTGTAAAACATGATATATAAAACACTGTAAAACATGATTTATAAAACACTGTAAAACACTGTAAACCATGGTATATAAAACACTGTAAAACATGATTTATAAAACACTGTAAAACATGATTTATAAAACACTGTAAAACACTGTAAAACATGATTTATAAAACACTGTAAAACATGATTTATAAAACACTGTAAAACATGATATATAAAACACTGTAAAACACTGTAAACCATGGTATATAAAACACTGTAAAACATGATTTATAAAACACTGTAAAACATGATTTATAAAACACTGTAAAACATGATTTATAAAACACTGTAAAACATGATATATAAAACACTGTAAAACATGATTTATAAAACACTGTAAAACACTGTAAAACATGATTTATAAAACACTGTAAAACATGATTTATAAAACACTGTAAAACATGATATATAAAACACTGTAAAACACTGTAAACCATGGTATATAAAACACTGTAAAACATGATATATAAAACACTGTAAAACACTGTAAACCATGGTATATAAAACACTGTAAAACATGATTTATAAAACACTGTAAAACATGATTTATAAAACACTGTAAAACATGATATATAAAACACTGTAAAACACTGTAAAACATGATTTATAAAACACTGTAAAACACTGTAAAACATGATTTATAAAACACTGTAAACATGATTTATAAAACACTGTAAAACATGATATATAAAACACTGTAAAACACTGTAAAACATGATTTATAAAACACTGTAAAACATGATTTATAAAACACTGTAAAACATGATTTATAAAACACTGTAAAACATGATTTATAAAACACTGTAAAACACTGTAAAACATGATTTATAAAACACTGTAAAACATGATATATAAAACACTGTAAAACATGATATATAAAACACTGTAAAACACTGTAAAACATGATTTATAAAACACTGTAAAACATGATATATAAAACACTGTAAAACACTGTAAAACATGATTTATAAAACACTGTAAAACATGATTTATAAAACACTGTAAAACATGATATATAAAACACTGTAAAACATGATATATTAAACACTGTAAAACACTGTAAAACATGATTTATAAAACACTGTAAAACATGATATGTAAAACCTTATATATATATAAAACCTTATAAGGGGGGCGCGCTGGTGGCACAATGGTTAGGGCGCGCGTCCCATGTATTGAGGCTGTCGTCTCAAGCGGGAGGCCCGGGTTTGCCTCCACCCGTGGCCTCCTTCCGCATGTCCCTTTTCCCGCTCTCTCTCCCTGGTTTCCGACTCTATCCACTGTCCTATCTCTGCATTAAAGGCACGAAAAGCCCAAAATAAAAAAACCTTATAAGAGTGTGGGCATGTCCTCACTGACTCACCTGACCTCTTTCAGGTGTGGGCATGTCCTTACTGAGTCACCTGACCTCTTTAAGGTGTGGGCGTGTCCTCACTGAGTCACCTGACCTCTTTCAGGTGTGGGCATGTCCTTACTGAGTCACCTGACCTCTTTAAGGTGTGGGCGTGTCCTCACTGAGTCACCTGACCTCTTTAAGGTGTGGGCACTGAGTCACCTGACCTGTCTGCTAATGCTGAGTAGAGGTGACACTCCTGTTGGGAAGTACTAAAGTCTATTCTGTCCTGTTTACAAATATGAACTTTTATTATTTAATAATGATGATGATGAATAAGAAATGAGAGATGATATGTTCACACTTTGTCACTTTTATTTATTAATGTTTACAAACAACAACAGAAAAATGTTTACAGTTATTAATACAGGAAGCATTTTGGAACACTTTATTCTGAAAGGACTCTTTAAGATGCAACAGTTGACAACATGTTGTAAAATTAATTCAAGATGAAATAAGACAAGTAATGTATCTTAATATTTATTGATTAAAATGAGTCCATTATTTTTAGTGTTTAAACTTTTTTAAATCTTTTAATCATCATCGTCTCGTCTATAAAACGTCTCGGAGAATCAATGGTCAAAAGGTGAGAGTAAATATTCAGAGTTCATGTTTCATAAAGAGTGAGATCAGACAGAGTATTAACATGGAGCTTTACTGATCAATTTAATGTATGTTAGCACCACTGGTCAGTGAACACAACACTGGTCAGTGAACGCACCACCACATGACTGCCACTGAGGCCAGCAGACCAATGACAGAGCTCGCTGCAGAGGAGGGGGCGGAGTTACACAGGTCTGAGTTGCAGCACTTGAAGGTGAACCTAGAAACCTGGAAAAGATTGAAAAAGTTAGTGTGTGTGTGTGTGTGTGTGTGTGTGTGTGTGTGTGTGTGTGTGTGTGTGTGCGTGCGTGCGTGCGTGCGTGCGTGCGTTCTGACTTTACCTGGGGGAACATCTGTCCAAGTCTGCTGTATTCACAGTCTGAGTACTTTAGACATTGACGATAAGTCATCCCACCTACACAACAGAAACATCATCTAAAAGTTATCAGTCAGGTATGAAGGTGTACAGGTATGAAGGTGTTCAGGTATGAAGGTGTACAGGTATGAAGGTGTTCAGGTATGAAGGTGTACAGGTATGAAGGTGTACAGGTATGAAGGTGTACAGGTATGAAGGTGTTCAGTCAGGTATGAAGGTGTACAGGTATGAAGGTGTACTGGTATGAAGGTGTACAGGTATGAAGGTGTACAGGTGTACCTCTCTCGTTGAGTGTGAGACAGGCGTCGTCATAGCTACAGTCTCGTTGTTTGGAACAACTGGCGGTGTAATCTTTGCAGCTGTAACAGCGGATGGCCGATGCTGAAAAACACAGAAGACGTTACAGACAGTAATATGCTAACAGTGCTAAAAAAAAAGCGCTAGCAGCTGAGACAAGGGCGGCTGTGGCCCAGTTGGTAGAGTCTCGCCTCTTGAGGGTTCGATCCCCAGCTGGGCAACATGTCTGATATCACTTAACCCTGAATTGCTCCCGCTGCTTTGGTGGCGGTGTATGAATGGATTAGTTACTTCTGATGGATGATACTACATAGTGATCACTACCATCAGTGCGTGAATGTGTAGGTGTGACATGTGGTGTAAAAGCCCTTTGAGTAGTCGGAAGTCTAGAAAAGCGCTTTATAAGCTCAAGTCCATTTACAAGCTGTTGAATTCATCAATTAGGTTTTTTTCATGTAAAAAACATTTGTATTTGTTCTTCGAGTAATAAAACCAGCTGTCAGCTGTTAGCTGTATGGTGTCAGCCTTTAGCTGTAAGCCCTTAGCTGTGAGGTGTCAGCCTTTAGCTGTAAGCCCTTAGCTGTGAGGTGTTAACCGTTAGCTGTAAGCTGTTAGCTGTGAGGTGTCAGCCGTTAGCTGTAAGCCGTTAGCTGTGAGGTGTCAGCCGTTAGCTGTGAGGTGTCAGCCGTTAGCTGTAAGCCGTGAGGTGTCAGCCGTTAGCTGTGAGGTGTCAGCCGTTAGCTGTGAGGTGTCAGCCGTTAGCTGTAAGCCGTTAGCTGTGAGGTGTCAGCCGTTAGCTGTAAGCCCTTAGCTGTGTGAACCGTTAGCTGTAAGCCGTTAGCTGTCAGCCGTTAGCTGTGAGGTGTCAGCCGTTAGCTGTAAGCCGTTAGCTGATCAGAGACAGACAGTAAAAAATGGATTGATCTTCAGTTACAACTGAAACTCAACACTCAGATCAATAAGTTAATTATTATAATGTGTAATGTGAAACTTTACAAAGCAAAATAAAGTCAAAGCAAAAGTTTACAGTACAAATATAAAGTACAAATATACAGTTTACAGTATTAATATAAATATACAATTTACAGTGTAAATATAAAGTATAAATATACAGTTTAAAGTGTTAATATAAATATATAGTTTACAGTGTTAATATAAAGTAAAGTATAAATATACAGTTTACAGTGTAAATATAAAGTATAAAAATACAGTTTACAGTGTTAATATAAAGTATAAATATACAGTTTACAGTGTGAATATAAATATAGGGTATAAGATAAGACTTGATCCCCAAAGGGGAAATTTGTGAGTTGCAGGACAGAGAAGCTAAACAGAATAGATAAGATAAATACAATAACAATAGGAGGTATCTACAAAAGGATTATAAAGCCTAAATAAAGTCATTCAGTTAATAAGACAAAGTGAATCAAACGAACCCAAAGCCAAGAGAGATGAGCCGAGCAGCAGACCGAAGATCAGGGAGCGCTTCATTTTCATCTCCAGTCAGCTGCATGCCCGACCAGACGGGCGGAGACACAAACACAAGTTCAGTAACAGTGTGTGTAGTGTATAGTGTGTGTGTATAGTGTGTATACTGTGTGTGTATACTGTGTGTGTAAATAATGTGTGTGTTGTGTGTGTACTGTGTGTGTATACTGTGAGTGTATACTGTGTGTAGTGTATAGTGTGTATGTATAGTGTGTATACTGTGTGTAGTGTAAAGTGTGTGTATAGTGTGTATACTGAGTGTAGTGTGTGTATACTGTGTGTAGTGTGTGTATAGTGTGTGTAGTGTGTGTATACTGTGTGTAGTGTATAGTGTGTGTGTGTATAGTGTGTGTATACTGTGTGTATACTGTGTGTAGTGTATAGTGTGTGTATAGTGTGTATACTGAGTGTAGTGTGCGTATACTGTGTGTAGTGTGTGTATAGTGTGTGCATAGTGTGTATACTGTGTGTGTATAGTGTGTATAGTGTGTATACTGAGTGTAGTGTGCGTATACTGTGTGTAGTGTGTGTATACTGTGTGTATACTGTGTGTGTATACTGTGTGTAGTGTGTGTGTATAGTGTGTGTATACTGTGTGTGTATAGTGTGTGTATACTGTGTGTGTATAGTGTGTGTATACTGTGTGTATAGTGTGTACTCACCCAGCAGCAGTAGTCCTGCAGATCAGCTGTAGTTCAGTGGTTGTCGAGGAGACGAGTGCGAGTGGACTCTGATTGATACAGCTGAGTGCAGCTGGGAAGCCCCGCCCACTGGGAGGAGCCTGTCCACCTGGTAGAGAAAGTGTCTTTGTTTCCTGTTTAAATGTCAGACTCTGAATCTAAACTGGGTATCAGATATTCACTTTATATATTATTAACATACAGACGGTATATTTACTGTTATATACTCGTATTTCCTGTTTATTTAAAGGAGCAGCAAAGGCACACAAACATAACAACATAATGATTCATAATAATACAATAATAATACATGAATACATCACTTGAAATCATTGACATCATAATGAGAGCAGCTCATTCAGTAAACCTAGCATCAAACAGCTGATTAGCAAACATTGATCAACATTGAACATTGGTACAAAAGCTTAACTTTATTACACTTTTATCTCCAACGTGATTGCCCAACCTGAATCAGGTCAGAGGCAAATCTGTGTAAACTTGTCATTTTGGTTACCATGGTAACATCTCAAAGTTGGATGTGTTGCTGTTAGCTTTAGCTGTTAGCTTGGTTCAGAAGTGACAGCTCGGCTCGAGGTCACATGATGTGGAGGATGACAGACTGTGTGTGGCTGCATTTATCTCAGCGTCCTCGAACGACCTCGACACAAAGAGAGTCCACAAATGCACAATCAGCTTCAGTGTGAGACAAACAAAGAGTGCACACACACACAAACACACAATCCACAGGCTGCACAGCGGCTGCATTCAAACACTGTCATCAGACCAACCTCACAACAATCACTTCAATCACTACAAGTACACAACACCAACATCTGAGACACAACAAGTGCTGCTTTATACTGAGAAACTTTTATTTTGAAAGAATGAACACAGTTTACCTGTTTGAAAGACACCTGAGATCAGTGACTCAATGTGTTTCACTCAGCTTGCTGATTGGTTCTCAGACAGCAGGTGAGCATGCTGACAGGTGAGACGCAGCTCAAACCTTCATTCATAATTCAGCAGCCTTCCTGCTTCAACATCACAACACTCACCTGCTTCTACATCACTACACTCACCTGCTTCTACATCACAACACTCACCTGCTTCTACTTCACAACACCCACCTGCTTCTACATCACAACACTCACCTGCTTCACCTGCTTCTACATCTCAACACTCACCTGCTTCACCTGCTTCTACATCTCAACACTCACCTGCTTCACCTGCTTCTACATCACAACAACCACCTGCTTCACCTGCTTCTAAATCTTCACATCCTTCGCTCGTACAAGCCTTAGAACACAGCTTGTTAACAATCTGACGGACCACAAAAAAGGTGAGTTCGTGAGTTAGTGTGATGTAGTTAGTAGAGTTAGTGTGATGTAGTTAGTGTGATGTAGTTAGTAGAGTTAGTGTGATGTAATTAGTGTGATGTAGTTAGTAGAGTTAGTGTGATGTAGTTAGTGTGATGTAGTTAGTAGTTAGTGTGATGTAGTTAGGAGAGTTAGTGTGATGTAGTTAGTAGTTAGTGTGATGTAGTTAGGAGAGTTAGTGTGATGTAGTTAGTAGTTAGTGTGATGTAGTTAGGAGAGTTAGTGTGATGTAGTTAGTGTGATGTAGTTAGTGTGATGTAGTTAGTAGAGTTAGTGTGATGTAGTTAGTGTGATGTAGTTAGTAGAGTTAGTGTGATGTAGTTAATGTGATGTAGTTAGCGTGATGTAGTTAGTGTGATGTAGTTAATGTGATGTAGTTAGTGTGATGTAGTTAGTAGAGTTAGTGTGATGTAGTTAATGTGATGTAGTTAGTGTGATGTAGTTAGTAGAGTTAGTGTGATGTAGTTAATGTGATGTAGTTAGTGTGATGTAGTTAGTAGAGTTAGTGTGATGTAGTTAGTGTGATGTAGTTAGTAGAGTTAGTGTGATGTAGTTAGTGTGATGTAGTTAGTAGTTAGTGTGATGTAGTTAGGAGAGTTAGTGTGATGTAGTTAGTAGTTAGTGTGATGTAGTTAATGTGATGTAGTTAGCGTGATGTAGTTAGTGTGATGTAGTTAGCGTAATGTAGTTAGTGTGATGTAGTTAATGTGATGTAGTTAGTGTGATGTAGTTAATGTGATGTAGTTAGTAGAGTTAGTGTGATGTAGTTAATGTGATGTAGTTAATGTGATGTAGTTAATGTGATGTAGTTAATGTGATGTAGTTAGTGTGATGTAGTTAGCGTGATGTAGTTAGTAGCGTTAGTGTGATGTAGTTAGTGTGGTGTAGTTAATGTGATGTAGTTAGTGTGATGTAGTTAATGTGATGTAGTTAATGTGATGTTGTTTGTAGAGTTAGTGTGATGTAGTTAATGTGATGTTGTTTGTAGAGTTAGTGTGATGTAGTTAATGTGATGTAGTTAATGTGATGTAGTTAATGTGATGTAGTTAATGTGATGTAGTTAGTGTGATGTAGTTAATGTGATGTAGTTAAAGTG